TCTATTTCTTTTAGCGCGCTGAATTGTAAACTACTAATGTGGTCTTGATGCAATGGACACAGGAAGGCGCAGGGTGAAGCGATCACTTTGTCACTGCGCAAAACGGATGCCTGCGAAGTACGTACAGGCTTTTTTTCAAGTTCGTGAGTCATACAACGCGCACGAATTAAAGCGCGTGGCCTCTGTTAAATAGCGAGAGTAAAGACCAAGTACACTGTTCGCACAATTCTCACTCGGGCGCACGCAAAGGCTCACGCGACACCCTTCGCGCTAGCAGACGACTCTCGCTCTCCTAGCGCAAGGCGCGACTGCAGCGCTGCGGTGGCGGGTGCGGCGGCCGGCCGCCTTCTCCCTGGGCGCGGCGCGAGGAGTTGCGGAACTGAAAAAGTATCTATAAACGTTGGGCTGGACCGCGTACTCAGCCGCCTGTCGGGTGATCTCCACGATACAAATTTTGAGTTGCCGAATGTGTTTTTTACGACGCCAGCGGCGGAATAGGCTGTGTCGTGCCTCCTAAAGGTGGAGGAGACGGTTATCCACCACCGGATTCGCTCTGAGAGTTCAACATTTTGCTCTACTGATAGGGTCGTGAAACGTTCCCCCAAAATTTTAAACTACGCGTGTTTTCAAAATCCTGGCAGTCTCTTCAATATTATACCTCGACTCGTTTGATCGTCTGTACTCAATGAATACATAAAAAAAGCTCAATTTTGGTTTTCCAACTTACGTTCTTGTCAACTGTGCAAATGACGTCACTTTAATACAGCCAATGAAGTTTCTCAGTCGTTGACAAAACATGGCGACGCAGCGATGTTTTTGAGCCTTAGTTGACCGTGGTTCGTAGCATGATAGTGTTTGGCGCTGTCACCATCCTCCATGGCCGTCACCACCATCCGACTTTCCCAAACTACAGCGTCGTCTGCTTGAGGGGAGTCGGCTCAAGAACAAGGCAGCGGTGGTGGTGACAGGAGACTTACGTCCATCGACTCGGTCAGATCAGGCCCTTCGACGCGACGTTTGGCACCAGGTCCTACTGGGGTTATGGCGCGAGCGGTTCGCGGGGCGTGGCCATCGTTTTGATGCCGCGCTTCACGGGTTCCGTGCTGCGCTACTTCAGGGACACTGATGGCCGTCTAATGTGGATGGACCTCGATTCTGGCATTCGCATCGTAAACGTGTATGCTCCAAACGACCTCCGCTCGCAGAAAGAATTCTTTGCCGCATTGGATAACCACCTAGTCGGCCCCTCTCGAGTCGTACTGGTGGGGGATTTCAATTGCGTGCTAGATCCCATTGACCGTCGAACTTTCAGAGGCACTCCTCCGAAATGGTCAGATAGGCGTGGCGAAGGCGTACTGCGCGAGCTAGTCGACGAGCTGGGGCTGATCGATGCTTGGCGCGCTCTTCGGCCGGCCCAGTCAGGAATGACTTGGACTGGCAGGAGCGCGCGAAGCAGGATCGACCGCTTTTACGTCTCGCCGTCACTGGCTCCCAGTATGCATTCCGCGTGGTTAGTTTCCTCGGCTTTAAGCGACCACAGCCTCCTTATCTTAAGGCTCGCCGGCACAGACATCGCAGCTAAGGGTAAGCGGCCGTGGCGCCTAAACGCCCGGCTCTTAAACTACAGAGAAATACTCGTCGACGTGGCGCGTTTAATACAACGCTAGGTACACGCAACACCAGAGCTAGACGGCGACAGGTGGGACGAAGTGAAGGCCGACGTCGCGGAATGCTTCCGGTCGTGGGGCAAGCGCCGAGCGCGGGAGGAACGCGAGGAGATAAGAATTATCTCCGGTGTGATCCTCCTGCTGTCTCGGCCAGAGTCCACCGGCCCTGGCATTGCGTCTGCGTTGGCTACGCTTCGTAAAGAGCTAAGAGTAGCGCTCCAGCGACGCTGGGACGGCCTCAAGGCCGTCGCTCGCACTGAGAGATGGGAAATGGAGGCTTGGTGAAAGTCGAACCATTTTGCGGCGACATCTAGCTAGGAAACACACGCCTCTGATGTCCCTCATCGATCCAGAGACAGGTAGCTTAGTGGAAACGCCGGACGGGGTACTTGAGGTGGCAAAGCGGTTCTATGAGAACCTTTACGCTGAGCCAACTCCGCCCTCGGCCGACTTTCCGTTCGTAAAAAACGATCAGGTATTCGAGCTCTGCGACTCTCCCTTCGTTGAGGAGGAGCTCCACGCGGCCTTGGTGACTATGAAGCGTAATCGTAGCCCGGGCACCGACGGTTTGACGGTGGAATTTTACGTCAAACTGTGGGAAGTGCTCGGGAAGTCTTTCACCGCTCTGGTGAATAGGCTGCTGCGTGAAGGGACGCTGTCAACGACTCAGAGGAAGGGGCTGATCACTCTCCTTTGCAAGGACGAGTCGAGACGCACCGACCTCAGGGCGTGGCGCCCCATCACATTACTCAACTGCGACTACAAGCTCATAGCCAAATGCCTGTTAGGCTCACTCCAGTACTCAGTACTGTTTTGGGACCATACCAGGCATGCAGCGTTAAAGGACGATCCTGCCAATTACATGGCTTCGCGATTAGAGACTTGATTGAATAGGCGAATGCACGGGACGTCCCGGGCATTCTATGCTCATTCGATCAGGAAAAGGCGTTCGACAGAATAAGCCATCACTTCATCTTCCAAGTTTTAAACGAGGCAGGATTTAGTGACAGGTTCGTTAGCATGATTAGAGCTCTGTATTCTCGGCCAACGTCTGCTGTCATCATACAGGATCGCGTCTCGGAGTCGTTTGACGTGTGCAGGGGAGTCAGGCAGGGCGACCCGCTCTCGCCTGCCCTGTACGTGCTCGCGTTCGAACCGCTTCTGCAGCGACTGTCTGGCGACAGCCGACTTTCTCAGTTTCCCCTTCCACCGGGCGCCCCTCCCGTCGCGCTGTTTGCCTACGCAGACGACTTGTCTATCGTAGTCCAAAACGAGGCAACCGTTTGCACCGTCTTGGAAGTTTTAGACGAGTACTGCGAGGCGAGCGGCGCACGCGTTAATCGGTCGAAAAGTGCAGTAATGTACTTAAACTCAGCTCCAAGCAGCGCGCAGCCCGTACACGGCTTACCCGTGAAGGCGAGGCTGCGCATTCTAGGTTTCCACTTCGAGCCGGGAGGCCTGACTCCCGAAAACTGACGGATAGCGGAAGAAAAGCTTGAAGCCAGAATCGAGGAGTTCGGCAAACTCTCTTGTCCGCTGACTGCAAGGGTAACGATCACACGATCGTTGCTCTTTTCGGTTTTAACGTACGTGGCTAGCGTTATGCCGGTCGCGAGTCAAACCAAGAATCGCTTGGAAAAGACTCTCTTCGAATTTCTAAGGAGCGGTTCATGTATTTACGTGGGACGCCCTGTCCTGAAGCTGCCCAGAGATCAGGGAGGACTCGGAGTCCCTGACCTGGGGCTCATGGCCAGGGTGCTTCACGTCAGATGGACCCGAGTAGCGTTAGACTCGGACATGACACTCACTCGAAGCTTCGCGTCGTTCTTCCTTAGCACGCGCTTACGGCAGTTCTCGGCGGGCGCCCTCTCTCACAGCGTGCCCCGTGCGGGAACCCCGTCAGCTTTTTACGCGGGCGCGGCTAGGACACTCGCGGAGATTCAGCGCGTCGATCCAGAGTGTGACGTAGTCGAGGTGCAACTCCAAGATCTAGTCGGCCTCATAACCCCGCCTCCACCCGAGCGCTACAAGATGTTGGACCTGTGCCGGCACAAGCCGAACTGGCATCTCATCACTACCAGTTTTCTCGACGCCAGGCGTGCTACTTTTATGTACCGCCTGGCAAGGGGCTGTCTGCCTATAACGTACAGACCCAACACACCAAACATCCAGCGAGGTGTTTGTCCATTCTGTCATAGTCGAGAGGCCCTGGTTCACATCTTTCACGAGTGCGCCCTTCCAAAAGCCCCACTCCGAAAGATAGCCGACCTATTTCAGCTCCCGGGAGTTCCTTATCCCACGGTCCGTTATTCAAGTCCGCTCCCGTCTCACGCGGTCAACCAGTTCGTGCTTCTTCTCGTAGGGTGCCTATACCAAGTTTGGTTGGCGCGATGCGAGGCCGTTTACCAGGGGAGACTGCCGGGCCTCCACGAAGTGCTTGCAAAAGTGCGGAAGGAGGTCTGGTTTCATCTCTTTCGTGAGCGGTATCGCCTAGGCGCGAAGAAGTTTCTCGAAACCTGGCACCGACCGGCAGTGATCTATAGTGAGTCTAAAGGGCAACTAACCATCCGACTATGATGGCGGAACATCTAGCAGCAGGATTTGGCGAGGCATCACTCGCCTGCATGCTTTGTTTAAGTCCAACAGCGCGCTTATTCCGCGCTAGGACAAGCCACCACGCCTGGGGATTCGTTAACATTCTGCTCGGCAGCGCCTTCCTCCTCTTTTCTCCGGGGGACGATAGTTATAGCGCGAGAACAAAACGACGACACAGAGACAGAGAGTGTCGTCGTTTTGTTCTCGCGCTATAACTATCGTCATGCCATACCAACTAGCCCAAGCTGCCACACTCTCCGGGGGAACGCGTTTTCGTTCAAAGAGCGCGCCCCTCCGCGGGCGCTCTCCCCTCCTCTCCCGCCTCTCTTCGAGGGAAAGAAAGCATGCACTCTTTCTCCCTCCGAGCTAAACCGGGGGTGACGGCTAAACTCGTTTCCTTCGCTAGCCCCGCCGCCGGCGTGCGTATTCCGGTCTGCTGCGCGCGCGACCGCTGCGACGCGCGCGCAATTCAAACCGCTCGCTGGCAGGCAGCCAGCGGGCACACGCCTGCCACGTGTTCCTCGCGCGCGCCGATCGTCTTCAGCGCGCCGCGGGGGCGTGGCGCAACCGCTCGCTTTGAGCGGGGACCATGGGGGTCTTCGACCTCCGGTCACGATGGAGAGGCCACAGCTCCGTGGGCCCTGACCTCGTCAGCGGCACTAAAGAGTGGCCCCCTTGTCTGGGAAAGGCACCGACCATCTCGCGGCCCCACGCCGCGAGATACGTCGCGTCCGCACGGTGCTCTGGGCGTCGTGCGGAGGCGGCACCCTTGTCCGGGTAGGGCCGTTCAACCGAAACAACAAAAGACCCGTCCCCTACCCAGGGGCGGGATCCTTACCGGGTTGAACGTAATTGGATGATGAAGGGTTGATGAGTGACATGTACTCTGGGACGAGGCGCTTTCGAGAGCCAACTCCTCTTCCTTTCTGACAACGGTAAGGAGCCTGCGCCCTTCGTATCGTGAGCACTCATATCGTGATCGCGTGACAGAACCTCCGCTTGCGGAAGCCCCGACCACGGGTTTCTACTCTGTATGCCCCTACTATCGGGGGACATCGTGGTAGATAGCTCGAAGCAATTCTCCGCGCTGTGGCTCGCTGGGCAGCTTGTGAGAACGAACGTTTTGCACTTTGATAAGTTGTGCGTGCGGCACCGTCTGACGACGCACATGGTTGACGTAGTGATGACTAAGCGCTGTACACATCGTGTGATCCAGTGTCTGATCCGGCGCGTGACGATTCATGACACATGGGGTGAACGAGCCATCAGCGCTCAGGCCCCGCCCACGTACGGCATATCAGCTTGCACACACGGAAGACATCGTATCCCCTTACAAAATAAACAACCTCACACAGTCACGGCTCGTTGTTTAATAACAGTGCTAACAAAGCTACGCCTTTGCGAGCGACAAACATCGCCACAGCCCACATTCATTCTCGACTCGGAGCATAGGAAGGCTGACGCTCTCGGTAGCACCACTCGCTTTCCAACGTGAGCTCATTGTCAGGCGCTTCTTTTTCCCAACACGATAAAAAACTTGTACGCTTGTATACAATGCTTTAGCCGTGCAACTAGTTTTGTCGACGGCATCGATCTAAAGAGCAAAGGTGGGAACGAAGCCGGTTGGTTCGCCGAGACGGCCGGTACCACTGAAAGATGACCTTCCAGCACGGCTCGATATCTTGTTGGTAGTTCGGAAACGGGCGTTGCCTTGCAGAAATAGCACACTTCAAGCATCACTTTATTCAATTATAAGTTATTTCCATCAGAAACAGTTTATCCAACGTTTTCCATGCCACCGGCAACGACGATATGCACAAATACCAGGGCGATCGGGGCTATCGGAGCGGCGAGAAAAAAAGCTTGTGGGGCCCCTTGTCACGCGCCCGCGCTGCCATTGGCCACGGCCGCCAGACTGAGAGGATGGCGTATTTAGGCGTACTGTGAACCGCGCGAAAGAAGAATACGACAGTAGACATTTCGATTAGCTTTCTAAGCCAAAAAATAAGCGTGCTTTGTTCGCTTATTTTCGGACAAGAAAAGTACTACAGTTAAGACGTTTACTGGCGGACACTCGTAGATGATTCACGACAACGACAATCTGTTTGTTTGTTTGTTTCCCTGGGATGATGGCTCATACCCACTCAGGGGGATTGGCCAAGAAAGTGTAGTGCAGTTTTTCTGTGATCATTTTAACTATGTGTAATGAATTGGTATTATAATAAGACTAATGTAAAAAAACAACATGAAGAGAGCAAACGAGAAGAAAAAAACAGAAAAGTCAAGTTGAGCAATTTTGAGATTTGAGGTGTTATGATTACCACTTAGCTGCGTTTACTTCACTCTGCTGTTGCGAAACGTCGGGGTAGTTCAAAGTTAGGCGCATCGGACGACCAGGGAGACGAATAAGTGTGGGTGAAACTCCACGGAGGCAATCGATGAGAAGTCAACACGATGATTTCAGGGAGCACTCATTGGGGGTTTATTTAGCTAACACAACTTCAATTTACAAAATGCACTAGGTCACAAAGACAAAACATAGAAAATGGTGGCATACCCCTCGGCCTGCATGGCTGGTCTCCGGTGGTGAGATCCGCTGTTGACCCCGACTCCGCTCACCTCCAAAAGAGCCCGAGTCGCTGCTTAAATAGGGGTTTTTTAGCGTCCCCGGTTGCGCGGACCAACCAGGCAAGCCGAGGATAATCAAATCAACATGTGGTTGCCTGAAGCCTGTCTCGCGACAATATGAATTCACCCTCCATACACACCACTTTCCGGCAAGCAGAGGCGACGCGCACACATGGTCTCAATTTTCGGCCTCTGGTCGTCTCGCCAAGTACCCCCGCTGTGTGCCTGCAGTCGTTTGCGCACGGGGTGCGAAAGAAACAAATCCTGCCTCGCGATAACACTGTGGCAGCCTCTGGAAACGGGCGCGTTCTCCGAAACGGCCTTGACGCGCCAACGACTGCTCAAATTTTGGTGCCCTTTGTCCCCAGAGGACCGAAGCGGCGGCTCGTTCGTTTGAAGTGTACGTGGGGGCTCAGTGGTTAGAAGAAGGAGAAAGGCACCTAATTTCTGCTGTCTGGTCCAAAGCACGGCGCGGTACCTGCCTTGGGCGCGAAGCGCACAGTGACCGACCAGACGCGGCCCTTTCTGTTCACTCATTCTTCCTCAAGGCGTGCTCCCCGAGACAAGTTAAACGGCGCTGCTAACAAGGGCGTCTGGCAAAGAACAAGCTCCAGCTGTTCTTTGCAACTCATGATTACGGAGTTAGACAAGGAGAGCAGAAAGGTGGGTCTTAAAATGAATCTGCAGAAAACGAAAGTAATGTACAACAACCTCGGAAAGGAGCAGCGCTTCGAGATAGGTAATAGTGCACTTGAAGTTGTAAAAGACTATGTCGACTTAGGGCAGGTAAACCGCAGAGCCTAACCACGAGATTGAAGTAACTAGAAGAATAAGAATGGGGTGGAGCCCATTCGGCAAGCACTCTCAAATTATGACAGGTAGATTGCCACTATCTCTCAAGAGGAAGGTATATAACAGCTGTATCTTGCCGGTACTTAGCTACGGAGCAGAAACCTGGAGACTTACAAAGAGGGTTCAGCTTAAATTGAGGACGACGCAGCGAGCAATGGAAAGAAAAATGGTAGGTGTAACCTTAAAAGACAAGAAGAGAGCAGAGTGGATTAGGGGACAAACGGGGGTTTAGGATATCATAGTTGAAATAAAGAAGAGGAAATGGACATGGGCCGGGCATGTAGCGCGTAGACAGGATAACCGCTGGTCATTAAGGGTAACTAACTGGATTCCCAGAGAAGGGAAGCGGGTTAGGGGGAGACAAAAGGTTAGGTGGGCAGATGAGATTAAGAAGTTTGGGGGTATAAATTGGCAGCAGCAAGCACAGGACCGGGTTAACTGGCGGAACATGGGAGAGGCCTTTGTCCTGCAGTGGATGTAGTCAGGCTGATGATGATGATGATGAAGTAACATTTTAGCACGTTCAAAAGTGAACAATGTGCATGCATCAACGTTCATGTGCAAAGAAGGTACATACTACGCATGGCCCCAACGCAGATGCCTGGAGCACAGAAGCTGTCCAGTGCTGGCTGATATATCTATCGCACTCCACGAAACCTCGCTGCAGTAAGTAAAGGTATACCGCTTACGTCACTGCACATGTGTAGCTCAAGACTTCACAACACCTCATTGACATTATTCGGTAAACTTTAAGTAATTGATATTAACATAATTTTGTGCCTTTCACAAGCAGTGCGGCCTGGTCCGGGCTGCTGCAAGCTAAAGTGCGTCACTTTCCAATTTTTTACGCGTTCCCACTATGCATGCTTCTGAATTCTTAAAATTAAATGAGAAACGGTTTTTTCATGCTTATTCTTAAGTCTTACAAATAAAATCGTTGAAAAAAAAGCTTCATTCGGTTTCGTTTACCTATGCTGGCGAAGCGCTGTCGTCGTTTCCATGGTAGCGCGACTCCTCTGCGTGGCCACGAAGCTGGCAATATGTGACTCGTTCTGCCTGTTTACGTACACCGAGCCTATCAAGCTCAAAGTAGGAGACCCTTAACTGCTTGTAAGAACATAAAAATGGGTGGATGAACTAGCGCAGGTACCCGCGGTATTGCAAAAAAGTTTGAAATTAGGAGATTGGCACATAAATTCCACCATTAGAAGCATCTTGGCTCTCAGTTCAAATGCGTAGATTAGCGAATTGCTACTTTCATTCATATTTCGTGCTGGTGCTTCAAATTTTACGTAAAAGCTTGATAACTTCTGGAGTACAGTTAACACTCTGTAAAAAAAAAAATGAGACCAAGACAGCAAAGAGAGAGAGAGAAACTGACGTTATGCTCATTCTTAACATTGATAATGGGACATAATATTTGAAATGAAGATTACAATGCATATGAGTACCATTAATTCACAAATTTCTAGCAGTAATGCCGAATTTTATGTTTAAAGGCAGAAATTTGTTACACATCATGCTACTGGGTCAATACTGGTGAAATTCAAAATGTTCTTGCTTCGAGTCAAAATCCGTCAGAAATATTTCACTAAGGCATGTCTTGTAATCATGTGCAGCATGTTTAACATATTTTAATTTGCAAAAATTCAGTATTAAGTTTGTGGGTTCATCCTATGTTCAGTATGTAGCTTAACAAATAAAGTTTGTAAATATTGGGAAACCAAGATAGAGTTGAGCACTTGAGAAAAAAATCAAGCACCTTACATGTCTCTCGGAAAATCGTGCTTCTAGGTTTGAAAAAAATGTTCGCTAACATGATGCAGCTCGAGCTCCTTCAACATGAAGAATGTTTTGTCCCACTCATTGGAGTTAAGTTTTGGCTGGGAATTGTTGATCTTGTGCATGTGGTTGGTGTGCCTCTTCAGATGACGTTTTGTTGTGAACAGTCAGCTGCAGTATTCATATTCAGTTCCTTCATTGCGAAACAGTGATAAGAAGCATGTATACTGAAATAATATTCATGCGCAAGCCAATCACGTTCCTTAAGCAGACAACAACCAGTAGTACTTTGACAGGAGATCACGTTCGCTTGGTGTGCAAAGGTGTGCGCCTGTGAATTGAGCCCATTTGTTGTCCTGGGGCGAAAGTGTTTCTTATTAACGGCACACACACATGGTCCGTTTCTCAATTTTTTTTTTTTTTCACTATAAAGATGCAGGCCCGTACCATGTCTTTTTGCGAAACAGGACCACAGGCTGCTCAAATTCCTTGAGGTGACGAATTATAGTTTGAACACTGTCGTCAACATGAGGCACTGGCAGACTGTTTTTCCGCCAAATGTTGGAGTTCTTTTTTGTTATTGTTTGTTTTTTGCAGCTACAGTCCTTGCTGATAGCTATGGTTTCAGAATGTTTGCAAACAAACATTCTGATGGTTTCAGAATGTTTGCAAA